CTGCATGCACCTTTGGTAGGTGGCGCCAGCGTTCTTCAAGCCGAAAGGCATGGTTATGTAGCAGTACGAACCATACGGGGTGATGAATGAGGTTGCGAGCTGATCGAACTCTTTCATCATGATCTGGTGATAGCCCGAGTAGGCATCCAGAAAGGAGAGGATCTCACAACCCGAGGTGGAGTCGACTATCTGGTCTATGCGCGGCAAACGAAAGTGGTCCTTTGGACATGCTTTGTTGAGGCTAGTATAATCAACGCACATTCTCCATTTCTCAGTCTTCTTTTTAACAAGAACGGGATTGGTAAGCCAGTCGGAGTGGAAAACCTCTCTGATGAATCCGGCTACCAGGAGTTTGACGATCTCTTCGCCTATGGCCCTGCGCCTCTCGTTGTCGAAGCAACACAGGCATTGCTTAGCGGGCTTCAAGCCCAGAATGATTCACAGTGCGTGTTCGGCGACGTCCCTCGGTATGCCTGGCATGTCAGATGACTTCCATGTGAAGACATCGTGATTGGCGCGCAGAAAGTCGACGAGCTCGCATTCCTATTTGGCTAGGAGCTGGGTCCCTATCCGCACCATCTTGGTTGGGTCGGTGGGGTTGATCCCTACCGCCTTGGTTTCCTCAAGCGGGCGGAAGGCCATCGAGGAGGTTGGTTTGTTGCAGTTCGGGACTGCTGGGGTCGATAACTCCCCGAGCCACGGGAGCTCGGACGAGTTGATGACCACGGTGGCGAGCTCGAAATTCTCACGGTCGCACATGAAGGCATGCGAGAAGGCGCTGCTCACGGTGATGACGTTGTTCGGTCCCGGCATCTTTAGCTTGAGGTAGGTGTAGTTGGGGATTGCCATGAATTTGGTGTAGCATGGCCACCCTAAGATGGCGTGGTAGGACCCTAGGAAGTCCACCACTTCGAAGGTGATGACCTCTGAGAGGAAGTTGGCTCGGTTGCCAAAAGTGATGGGCAGGTCAATCTGCCCGAGCGGGTATGCCTATGCTCCCGAGATCACCCCGTGGAAGGGAGAGCCCGCTGGGTGGAGTTCCAACCGGGGGATGGGCATGGCGTCGAGGGTGTCGACGTAGAGGATGTTGAGGCCGCTGCCTCCATCCATTAGCACCTTGGTGAGGCGCTTCTTGCGGACGATGGGGTCGATGACGAGCGGGTAGCGTCCTGGTCTCGCGATGTGGGAGGGATGGTCCCTCTGATCGAAGGTGACTGGAGATTCCGACCAGCTAAGAAAGGAGGGGACGACCGTCTTGATGGCACATGCCTCCCTGTAGCGTACCTTCTGCTGGCTTTGGAGTAGATGGCCTCAGATCCACCGAAGATCATGATGCCTTCCTCGGGGTTGGGGAAGCTGTCCCCGTCCTTGCCTGCCGTGCCTCCTTTCTTGGCTACCGCTTCTTTGCCGTCTCCTTCTTTTGGCCCGCCGGCCTATCGGAGGAAACATTTGAGGAGCTCACAGTCCTTGTAGAGGTGTTTGACGGGGTAGGCGTGATTGGTGCATGGGCTATCCATGAGCTTGTTGAAGTGGTCAGGCAGGTCCTGCAGGGGCTGCTTGCCCACGCGATCAGCTGCGGCGACCAACGCGGTGTTGTCTGGCCGGCGCCGATCCTTTTTGTTCTTCTTGCCCCTCTGTGTGGAGGGGCCCTCGTCTTGGTCCGCGTGCTTGGCCTTGCCTTTGTCCTGGCCTCCGTTGAAGACTGCTCCGACCGCCTCCTCACCGGAGGCGTGGTTAGTGGCGACGTCGAGCAGGTCACGGGTGGTACGGGGCTTCAGGCTGCCAAGCTTGTGGATTAGGGACTCACAGGTTATCCCGAAGAGGAATGCGCTGATGATGTCCACATTGACGACATCAGGGAGGCAGTTGCATCATTGGGAGAACCTACGGATGTAATCCTACAGGGACTCGTTGGGCTCCTGCTGACAGCTCTTGAGGTCCTAGGAGTTACTAGGGCGGCATACGTCCCCTGGAAATTTCTGATGAAGACCCTCTTAAGGTCCGCCCAGTCGCGGATGCTGTCGTGTGGGAGGAATTCAAGCCACGCCCAAACGTGTTCCCCCACGCAGATGGGAAGATATTGAATGATGAAAAGGTCATCATCCACCCCTCCGGCTCGGTAGGCGAGCCAGAAATCTTCGAGCCAAATACCGCGGTTTGTCTCCTCGGTGTACTTGGCGATGTTGGTAGGTGGTCAGAAGCGTTGTGGGAATGGCGCTCTCCGGATACGTCGACCAAAGGCCCGTGGTACCGGGCCATCCGGACTGGGACTCTAGTCGTCTGGCCGGCGACCATGCCTGGGGCGCGTTTCACCACTCCCCTCGATGGTCCGGCCAGGACCTGTGTTGCCTGCCCTCATCGCCGCCCGAAGGACGTCATCATCATACCGGGCCTGATGCTGGTTGCTGATGATGCTACGAGCGTCTTGGTGCGGACCGAGCCATTCGCGTATCGGCGGTCGGTGTGGAGCAGGCGCCAGGTTGGACCGCGGCGCAGCCGCGGCCTCCCGAGCCATGCTTGGCGACTGTAGCGGTGAGCGGATGGAGTGATCCGTCTGGTGCGTCCCCACTCCCCCAGTGGGGAGAGAGGGCGCGAGTTGGAGTCGCGATGCAGAGCTTTCCGCCTATTGAACGGCGGCGGCTTCCACTAGCGCCCGGAGGTTCCGGTAGACCGCCCGCTTGTGGGGGTCGACGGGCTCGGGAACACCGCGCAGAAGCATTACCGAAGCGGCGATGTTCTGGCTAGCCCGAGCGAATTGTGGGGGGTCGTTCCCCTCGTTCATGATGTTGTGCTGCACCTGGCGGGCGCGACCCCGAGCACCGCTCGCCGGGTCACGCGCATGGGGCACAACGTGCTGCACCGAGCACGCCGGCGCAGGCGACGGCTGGTTCTGCCACCGTTGTCGTAGCACCTCGGCGTGCTCTTGTGCGAGTGCGAGGGCCCCTGCACGCGGGTTCGGAGGGTTGTGAGTCTGCATAGACTCCACAACCACCGGCAGCTGTCCCGGAGCGTCTACCATAGCGCACTCCCGGGACGGACGGTGGTTGGGTGCCACGTCATCGATGCTGGAGCTGTCGCTCTCAACCTCGTCATCCAGGAGTTCGTGGAAGGTGGTGGGAGCATAGCTCGCCATTCCCACGAATTCGGATGTGAGAGGGGGCGGTGCCAGCGTCCGTCGGAGCCCCCGAGCGTACGCGTCCGTGGGGGACGCGAGGCCGCAGGGGAACCGGTAGTACGGTGTTTGCGGTGCGGACAATACGGTCCCTCCGGATAATCGGCGGGAGATAGTAAATAGAGAGTAAATAACAGTATGCACATTACTAACAGCAGGGTTTTGGCAGAGCGTTTGCTCGGAATGAAGCGCAGGCGCCTCGTCGTTGAAGCCGTTGGGTGTCCCGGAGCCGACGGAGGGCGCCCCTCCGACGGGAACCAGGATGGTTGCCTCCTTGCGGAGGTGTAGTACACGGAGTCAGTCGGCGATGGAGTCTAGGCTTCCGAAGAGGAAGGCCTTGGACGGCTCGAAGACGGGTGGAATCCGCATCCCAACAGGTGGGAGTGCAGGAAACTCCAGTGAGCTGAAGTGAGTCGTATCACTTGAGCCCGCCATGGTGAAGGTGGCGGAAAAGTGGGCCATCCGATGACCAAAAAGTGTGAACGTACAACGTCTTCCCCACGGACGGCGCCAACTATCGGTACAGAAAGTGACCAACACGTAAATATTTATAGTTTTGCCGTACGTTGTGATCGGATGTGGCCTAACACTCAATGACACAGGGTTTATACTGGTTCAGGCAATGTGCCCTACGTCTAGTTTGAGTCGGTCGATGACTTGATCCCTGAGCCCAGGTGCTCGAAGTTTGTAGTGGGGTTACAAACGAGAAGGAGAAAGATGTGGGGTACAAGAGGTCCAGTCGGACTCTGGTCTGAGGGGCCGAGAGTGACAGGAGCTCCGCTATGTGCTAAGTGTTCGAACGTGTGCTTGTGGTTTGAACCTGGTGGTTCTATTGTTGTATCCCAGTGAACTGATCGATCCCCCTGTTTGGGAGAGAGCGCATCTCCTTTTATAGATGAAGGGGATGGTTTTACAAGTGAGAGGGAGAGAGTGTACATATGCTAAGTCTTGTTGCCCACGCTATCGGATACATGATGATTGTAGGCGTCCATAACACTGTTAATGTCAGATGCATGTAGGAGGTCGCGTTGTCTTCTTCAGGTATGGCAGACTTGGTGCCTGCCATACTGTTGATACCCAGAAGCATGCAAGGGGTTTTACCATGTTCGCCTGGTACGGTAAATGCCGGTACCCACAACACTGTTGATGCCTCAGAGGCACGTGGGGGAACCTTACCGTGTTTGTCTGGTATGGGAGTAGATGGCGCCCACAACACTGTAGAGGAAAATATCGGCGCCTACAACACTGCTTAGGTTCTATCATGCCAGGAAGGTCGCAGGGTACTGTTCGACAGGTGTACAGGATACGGTCCTTGGTATTGCGGTTGACTTGAGTGCCCTGTCTTACTTTCTCTGTCTGTTTCCTGGTCCTTACCGAGAGGGCGTCCCCGGTCGATTGGTCCCAGTCGGCTCTAATTGCGCCTGTTGGAGAAGAGCAGTGAGCAGGGGTTTGGCGCATCCCCAGTCGGAGACGCGGGTCGGAGTCGGAAGTGGTGTTTGGCCAGGCCTTCCGGTCGGAGAGGCCGTCCGGCGGTGGGCCGGAGTCGAAGTCGAGGCCTTCCGGTCGGAGAGGCGGGCCAGAGTCGAAAGCGGGCGCCGTTCCTTCTCGGTCAGGCCTTTCGGTCGGAGACTGGATCTCCCTTCCGCGTCGTTTAAGGTATTTGGGCCGGCCCATAAATTGTGCGTCGTTCGTAACGTCGTCTGGTGGGCTGAGCCTTTGTTGGAAAGTCGGTCCACGAAGGACCCCGGGTTTATAAACCCGACACCAGTAAACTGATTTATCTTATCTCCAAGTGCTTGGAGTTCCCGCCATCCTCTTTGACCCCGCATCATTTCATCCATTCTGAAACAACGCAATCATAATTTCTGTTCACATCATTTGCTCCAAATTAGCAATGAAGTAGTGAAAAGGTAAACATGCTAAAAATAAAAGAAGCTATTATACCTGAAGTAAGCTCTGTGGACAGCAGCACCCAGGTCACCAGCTGCATAGGCTTCACTATGGAGAACTTCCCTGTGTAGATATTTTGCACAGAATTTGGCAACTACTTTTCCTGAGGCAAGAAAGCAATAAGAAGGGGTCAACAGCCCATTTTGGTATGATGTGGAATCAATCATAAATGCTGAAAAGGCACTGTTCTTTGCAGTTAGTTACCTCCATGTCCATAAAAAACACCAAAGAATGCAGTGTCATTGTCAAGATCTAGCAAAGCCGAGTGCTAGAAAATTGCACAATAGACTGAGCAAACACGATCATAATAAACTAATAAAATTGACAAGATTGCATCCTCTCAAAAGACACAGATAAATCATATCAAGAAGTCTATTAGTACTATGTAAGAAAACAAGTCACAGCTTCTCCTTTAGTAGTTATACATTATACTCAACAAGATATCTCATACACATTCAAATTCTATCCTCTCAATTGATTCTAGCCTTCAAGGTTGGAGTATAGCCCATCTTTCAGTATGATGTCAGACACACTGTTTAACTTATGAAGCATTATCAATCCAACATCTGGAGAATATGGTGATGTAAACAAAAAAAGTGCTAATCCATTTTTTGTCACTCTCAACAACAGGACAGGGTATCATGGACAGAAACAAAAACTCCCCATTCAACTCATGAATTAACCAGGCTCAGTTCAGCACATAATTTATTTTTACACGCAAGTATTCATTTTATTTCAAAAATTTAACGAACACAAGACACCCCTTCTCTCAGGTGCATAGCACTGCTAAACATTGCTAGGACATTCTGTGAGTTTCCATAATTACACCCAACTTGGACACTGAGAGCACATTTATATTAAAGTTGGATTCCAAGTTATATTTGGAAAATCGAGTAAAATCATGCTGAGTTGGATACCCGAGTCTGAATCGGATTCCATCACTTGTGTGTCAATCCAGGTAAAACGTACAAGACTAGGAACAAGCGACAAAGAAAATCACAACAAGCAAATTTAAATGATGAATAGAAACTTACAGCATCTTCCATAGTTGCACGCCACCCTTGCATAGATGAAAGTCCGAATTTAAGTTTATCATTTTCCCCATCTTCGGATACCTTCTCAGTTTGCGGAGTGCTAAGGTAAACCCCCATTCTTCCAAATGTACCTGGCGACAGAATATGACAGAGAGAAAAAGATCTGCTGCTCAATAACAAGCTATCGATGGAATTGTGCCAGATCCGAATAACAAGCTCAATAACAAGCTATTCTTAGAGCCACAATCCGAGGAGATTAGATTGTTCCAGTTGAGGGAATTCGGCAGCCGGGATTGTAGCGACGAGTTGAGCCAAGCAAGCTGGAGAAGCCGAAGAGATTTGTGAACAGATTCGGTACAAGATCATTAACATTCTTTTTGGTCATTCTTTACATGTAATTATCTCTTTTACATGATTCTTTTTTTCTTTCTTTCTTTTTGTTACTCCTCCCTGAGGCAATTCTTGTTCCCGGTGGAATAAATTTTGCATTCTTTCAGGAGATAAGTAAATGAATCCTCTTTTTTCTCAGTGAAAGAGTACACATAAAGTTTTGTTCCTGGCATTCTCTGATAAATACTCCAGTAAACAATCATACTATGCTTCCTCACTGCTTTTGGAGCAGGCCAGTTGCTGCCCTTGCACTGCAAGTCTCTGTATAAGGATTAGGGCAGTTCACTGCGTATGCTTAAGAGACTCTACAGGCGTTGCGTTGGGCGGGCAGAAGTACAATGATTAGCGGTGCTAATTTTTATTCGTGATGAATTGCATGCATCCTACGCTCAATTATTCCCACCCTCCGTTTTGTCAAAAGGCTGGGCGGGCACATATCATTGAGATTTGCATAGATCGCCATCCCTCGCGCGTCGATCAGGATCGGTGGATCGCCTTGACGCTGTCGCAATAATTCGGAGCGGCAGCCACATGATGGAGAAACGGTGGCAGATGGCAAAATGTCTTACCAAGAAATACGCGTACGAGCTGCGTGGATGGAGCAGCGACGGCGAACGGGCCGACGAAGACCTGGCAAAGGGCGCCGGCGCTCGCCCGCTGACGCATCTGGAGCCCACGCCTCAGCATCTCAAGCCCACCCGTGGCCGCCTCTTGGGCCCACGCCGGATCCGAGACCCTCCTCACCGGATTGAGCTCTTCCTTGTAGAATCGAGCTCCTCCACGAGGAAGAGAGCACCGGCCACCGGGTGGGAGAGGTGCGGAGAGGGAGGAGAGAGCGAACACAAAACACAAGAGGGGGTGCGGAAGGAGCGGCAGCTAGATAGATTGTCTGTGTGTGTTGTGACCTAAGGTTGCAGGAATGGGTGGGCCGACTGTGCTCTAGAATATATACTCAGCCGCCCCTATAAATGCATTTGTAGGGACGGTTTCTGATTCAGTCGTCCCTACAAATATTTTCGCATATTTTTAAATATTACTTTTGCATATTTTTTTATAAATGTGTAAATGTATATATAAATGTAGAAATGTAATAAAAATAATTTGCTATATTTTTCCGTACACATAAAAAATTACTTGCTTATATATATATATATAGATATAATGATACATTTTATTTTGTAAAATAAAAAATAAATTTAAAAAATTTAAAATTTGAATTTGTGAAATTTGAATTGAATTTTAAGATAAAAAATGATTTAAAATAAAAATGTTGTAAACATCAAAGTTGTAAAACTCATCAAGATGTACAACTTATATTTTGGTCATCTTTTCATTTGACAAAATTTGAAAAGTTCAAATTTTGAATTTCAATAAATGTCAACTTCAAACAAGATTTTGAAAACTTAAATGATTTCAAATAAGAAAGTCATAAACATAAAAGTTGTTGAACACATCACTATCTACAACTTTTATTTTGATCATTTTTTCATTTGACAAAATTTGAACAATTCAAAATTTGAAATTCAATAAATGACAACTTCAAACAAGATTTTAAAACCTTAAATGATTTCAAATAAGAAAGTCATGAACATAAAAGTTGTTGAACACATCACTGTATACAACTTTTATTTTGATCATCTTTTCATTTAACAAAATTTGAACAGTTTAAATTTTGAATTTCAATAAATGACAACTTCAAACAAGATTTTAAAACCTTAAATGATTTCAACTACAAACGTCATGAACATAAAAGTTGTTGAACTCATTACTATCTACAACTTTTATTTTGGTCACTTCTTTATTTAATAAAGTGTTAGTAAACATTGTTTATAAATTCACATATCACTCATAGTTTCATGAAATATATGAGAGACATGTTGATTAGCGAACAATGTTTACTATCACTTTATCAGATGAAGAAATAACCAAAATAAAAAGTTATAGATCTTTATGAGTTATAAATCTTTGGTATTCATCACTTTTTCAGCTGAAATCATTTGGTGTTTTAAAATTTTGTTAGAACTTATTATTTTTTTTAAGTTTGAAATTTTGAATTGCTCAAACTTTTTCAAACGAAAAGAATGACCAAATCAACACAGTAATTTGATAGGGCATAATTTTAGAAAATTTTAGGAAAAAAATCATCACATTTAGAGTTAGTATGAGGAAGAAAGACTAGTTAAAATTTTATCCAGAGATTAAAAAGAAAAATCACAACTGTTCATGATGATCAATGATGAACAAGTGTGATTTCTCTTTTTAATCTGTGGCTGAAACTTGTAACTAGCTTTTTCTCCCTCGTACTAACTCCAAATGTGATGATTTTTTTTTCTAAAATTTTCTAAAATCATGCTCTATCATTTTAGTCTGGTCATCTATCTTTGTCACTAATTTTAGATAATTAAAATTTTGAATTTCAGAAAATAACAACTTAAAACCTGATTTTCAACCAATAAATGATTTCAGCTGTAAAAGTGATGAATATAAAAGTTGTTGAACATATCACTATCTACAATTTTTATTTTGGTCACCTTTTCATTTGACAAAATTGGAACAGTTCAAAATTTGAAAATCAATAAATGACAACTTCAAACAAGATTTTGAAACCTTAAATGATTTCAAATAAGAAAGTCATGAACATAAAAGTTGTTGAACACATCACTATCTACAACTTTTATTTTGATCATCTTTTCATTTGACAAAATTTGGACAGTTTAAATTTTGAATTTCAATAAATAACATCTTCAAACAAGAGTTTGAAACCTTAAATGATTTAAATACAAAAGTCGTGAACATAAAAATTGTTGAACTCATCACTATTTATATCTTTTATTTTAGTCACTTCTTCATTTGACAAAGTGTTATTAAACATTGTTCACAAATTCACATATCACTCATAGTTTCATGAACTATATGAGAGACATGTTGATTAGTGAACAATGTTTACTATCACTTTGTCAGATGAAGAAATAACCAAAATAAAAGTTATAGATCTTGATGAGTTATACACCTTTGGTATTCATCACTTTTTCAGCTGAAATTATTTGGTGTTTCAAAATCTTGTTAGAACTTGTTATTTTTTAAATTTGAATTACTCAAACTTTGTCAAACGAAAAAAATGACCAAATCAACACAGTAACTTGATAGGGCATGATTTTAGGGAAAAAATCATCACATTTGGAGTTAGTACGAGGGAGAAAGACTAGTTACAAATTTTACCCAGAGATTAAAAAGAAAATCACAACTGTTCATGATGAACAAGTGTGATTTATAGGGACGGTTGGTGATTGAGCCGTCCCTACAAATCGTAACCCCGGGGCGGCTGGTGAGTGAGTCGCCCCTATAAATCGACCCATTTGTAGAGGCGGCTTATATCATCAGCCGTCCCTACTGTGCCATTTGTAGGGGCTGCTGGTCTCGTGGGTCCCGAACATACCCACTATAGGGGCGGCTCCATCACCAGCCGCCCCTAAAAAAAATTGTTCCGTTTCTACAAACGTTTTTTTTTAGTAGTGATTGTATGCTCATATATATATATATGCATGATCCCCCTAGTATAGACGTACAGTGCATGGATGCCGTTGCTTTCACCGTACTAGTTACTCCTATGGTCTTTGCATCAGTATAGTGTATTAAGGTGATCGATCTGCGTGAGCTAGATACGTGCAAGGCAAAGCAAACAATAATGGAGGAATATGTATAATTTTAACAAAGCAATCGTATAAGCATCTGAATTATTATTTTTTGACAAGTTTGGGTGCTTGATGCAAGCACCTCCAGAATCGTATGCCGTGGCTGTGTGTTTTCACTCCACTCGTACCACCGGGCCATGGTAGCACGGCCCTGTTCCTCGATCTCCTGTTTTGCGACGATTCGGGCCAAGATTTCTAGACACGCGCGCGTGTCATGTCGAGGCGTCGAGCTCACTCTTTAACACAGCTCCACACGAAGATAAGTCTTTGCTAGTTCTCTCTCTGTCATGCGGTGAACAAAGAGAACCTGCGAAGATAAGTCTTTGCTTTAACACAAGTACCGTGGCGGTGCGATGCAAGCACAACCTTCGAAATATCTTTGATGGTTCTCTTTGTTCACTCATGACATAGAGAAAACATGTTTTGTATGTACCATTTTCACGATAAATTTCAACAATTTTCCAAACCCGTTAAAAATAATAAGCGGAGATGCATGATAGTAGATATATACTAGGCTATTGTATTGCATCGTTATAGACGTGCTTACACGCCGTTTTCATGTCAATGGTGGTCAAATTGCGGTTCAAAATACGGTCATGAACTCGTGCTGCCCATCATCATACCGAGAGGTACAACACGACCTAAAGTTTGTAGTGTCATGCTGCGCTTTAGTCATACTCCCTCCATTAAAAATTATAATCCGTTTTAACTTCTCTATATACATATGTTTTATCATGTATCTAGGCATAATCTACACCTAAAGTGTTAAGTAAAAGTTATGCACCTAGAAAGCATTTGGAACCGAGGGATCATCATGTACCTAAAGATCATGCTATATGGCCCACTTTCAAAAAGCACAGTACAAATCCCAGCTCTACCCCTGCCCGTATGATATGTGGGCAAATAAAGTGAGGATGCTAAGCTATATTCCCAATCCGGTCGGCACTGGCTTTGTATGTGATTCACCCATCGCCATCCAACACAACACTTTTGTTAGCCTTGCTCCGATCCGAATCGCGCCGCTGCCGCCTGCGAAGGGTACGCCTGCCTAGGATCCAACGCTCCATATGGATGGAGTGTATCGGCCCTTTATGGGAGGTGAGTGTATTGCCATTTCGGTCGTACACGAGACAGACAGAGAGAGTCTAGAGAGAGACAGCCGAATCTGTCTCTGTACTCTGCTGGGGTATAGATACTGGATCGATGCCGGACAGGTGCTTATATTCCAGCAAAAGGAACGCCATGGCTGGCTCCGGCTCCGCCGGGATACAACTCCCCTCGGTTCCCCAGCGACTTTTGCTGACGCCTTTTTTCACATTCTCATTCTGATGGCTCCGGCGACACTGCTCTGTGGGCGGGGTGGCTGCTCGACGTGAATGGTGTGGCCAACGGAGTGGTGTCGCTCTCAGTTGCGTCCAGCACCTGAGTTCCTTCGTGGTTGGGCCTCAATTTTGTGCTAGCATCCAATCTGAGCCCCAGAAGAAGGGTCTTGGTCCGCGGGTCGTAACCACATTAAGCCCACTCCAGATCTCATGTAACGACGAACCCGGAGCCCATCACAGCAGCACAAAACAGTTCGGACCGAAAGCCCACGAGGCCCACCCCAACAGCCCGGCCCGTTTCGCTTCCGCCTTATCCCTCTCGGACTGCTGTCGGATTAGAACGACAGAATGGAGGCCGGCCTGCGCGCGCTTGGCCACCGCTACTGCGGCGGCGGCGGCGGCGGCGGCAGCCTCGGCGGGTTCGCCGCCGCTCGTGCCACCCACCTCCGGCGCCAGCGCCGCGCGGCCGCCTTCTGCTCCCGTGAGTGGCGAGAGACTGTCACCCCCTCCCGTTCCAGTGTGTCTGTGTCTCTGACGTCCCTCGCGCTTGCAAACGTTTCTGCAGTTGCTGTTAATGGAGATGGGAATGGCGCCGCGGGTGGCCCCGTGGGGAGCGGCGTCGAGGTGGCGCGCGCCAGGAGGATGCTTCACGTCGTGCTCGTCTCGCCGCTGGTAAGTGGTCACTGCTGCCTCCTTATTTTGAGGTTTGAGCTCGCATTCCTGTGGCCGACTGCTATTCTGTTGATGTGATAGTCCGTCTGCCATTTTAAGCTCGAATTCTACAGTCACTGGTTGAATAAGAGTTCGGATTGGTGCATTGCGCCTTGTGATCTTGTCTGTTCACGTGATGCCTAAATCTGATAGATTCGATCAACTCAATAATTGGGAAGAGAATAACTCTAACCCTTATACGATGTGTCGGTATACAAATATAGAGACGGAGGAGGTCTAGTCTATCTGTTTTTACAGATACAGAACGGCCCTCTACTTTAGCTGAGTCGTACACCACATGAACAATATCATCTACATCTTTAAATGGATGGTAGTGCAATGCTTGTAATACAGCATACCCTAACCCTGCTGCTGTTTTGCTCGGTGGACAATAAGAGGGTAAACTAGTAACTATTTGCTGTGCAATACTAGTGTAGTTGCTTATTTATGGATGGGTCTACTTTGATTACGGCATGCCATACTAGTGTTGCAAACTAGTAACTTGTTGCAATGTAACACTAGTGAGTTGATTATTTGCCTTGCCTTGTTGTTGTGCTGAATTATGGATGGCTGTACTTCACAGATACCAGGAAATACAGGGTCCATTGCAAGGACATGTGCTGCATCTGCAGTTGGCCTGCATCTTGTCGGGGTAAGGTTAGTCTACAGATTATTTGTTGTGTTCTTTAGTAAAAGGTTCTTGATGCAGCAGCATCTTTCTTGCCCCATATTGTCATCCATCTGGAGTTTTATGTTAACTAAAATATTTTTGAATATTTTTCTCCAGCCATTAGGTTATAAGGTAGACGACACGAAATTGAAGCGCGCGGGATTGGATTATTGGCCGTATCCTTTGGTTGGATGTATATATGGGCCCTCACCCCAAATTTAAGTCCATTAGGGCATCAACATGGTCTACAATATGACAGTTTGATGATCAATAGATATAAAAATATGTTAATTGAAATATAAAGAGTTAAATAGTATTTTTCATGATAAACGCAGTAAGATCAACCTTCTGTTGTCATTCTATATTATAATCTGTATATGATCTCTGACATACTAAATCTTGCGGGCAGTGATCATAGAAAGAACTCGTCTACTCAAATATCAGTCTTCTTCCTTAATCGCTGCTTTTAAGATATGTTGTTGTCAAGATTCATGACTCTTGGGACCATTTCTGTGATTATTTCATGAAGCAGGTGATGAATTCTCTGTCCTCCCGGATATTTTGACTACCAAATTGTTTTCAGCATCATCATGTTCTTTTTTCTCCATTAGGAAGGAGATAAAAGGCTGTTGGCATTCACCAAAAGAGGCACAAAAATCCATTCAGTAAGTAACTACTGCTTCTTCAAGTAGAATTGTAGTATATCTATACCTGCACCACAATGAAAACTGTCGCAGTGGGTATAAAATCGCAACTAATTTGCAAATTTGAATATTTTCTTATTTTTTTAAAAAAACTGCTGGCAGGAATATGCCAGGCAAATATATATTGATAGAGGAGAGGAAAAGCCAAAGTACAAGCTTAAAAGACGAAAATACAAACGGCCCAAATGAGGAATTTAGGCCCTCAAAGCTAACTGCCTAAGCCAAAGGCAAAAATTTCTCTTAGTCGCTTGGCTCCCGCGCAACACAATAGTCATGAAGATTTTCTTATGGAAATGGCACGTATTGATGGAGATTTATAGCGGAACACATTGACTTGATCTGATATTGGTGCTCTTTCTCTAGATCTATAGCAAATATGCAACTCAGATTCTTTGGCATTCACTTGATTAATGTGCTCCATGTTTTGATTAGGATTTCTCCTACAGGCCAGGGGACTGGCTAGTCTTTGGTTCTGAAACAAAAGGATTGCCTCAACAAGCCCTTGAGGATTGCTGTAAAGAAGGCCTAGGTGGTGGAACCCTCCGAATTCCCATGGTGGAAACCTACGTCCGGTGCCTGAACCTCTCCGTCAGCGTTGGAATCGCACTGTATGAAGCAGCTAGACAGCTGAACTACGAACAGCTTCAGTACCAGCCTCAGCTCCCAGAGGAAGCACAGGGGCTATTCCCAGCAGAGGACATTTATGCATGAGAACAATTCATATAGTAGAAAGACTACTGCCACCGAATTGATCACCTCAATTTTTTTTGCGTACTGTTTGCCGTGACACATGAGCATATGATTGAGCTGGAGGACCACACACGATTCTGTTGCGAATTCAATTCCAAGCCGAGTCCTTGTCGAGGTGGTGTTCGCATGCTCATTCAAAATGTGTACCGGATTTGCATGAAAGAATCGTTTTAGTACTATAATTTTGCAGTCAGAAGGTGATTAGAGTATGCTAAGATGGGGTCTCTTTCTGACTTTTTTGTGTACTACTAGTTACTGAACCATAAGCTTTGTTAATTGCAATTAGATGCTGCCTTCTGTTGCTTGCTTCTGTGTCAATGTGGTGAGGGAAAGGTTGGTGTGGAAACTTTACTGCCATTCAAAACCTTGTCGCTGGTCACGCAGCTCACAGGTCAAATAGTGCCCTATCTGTAGGTGGCCCTAACCAGTGAAATTATTGGGCCATCAGCTGTGCTGGAGGATTTATAAATGTTGCTCATCAGCAGCAGCAGCCAGCAACTCCTCGTTGTTCTATGTGAACAATGAACAGCATGGTACTGGGTGTTTCTGAAACACTCGTTTGTGTCAAGGATTGAACCCGTGAATGCATCAGAAAACAGCATTCGAATTCTCGAGTTGGGCCGGCAGTGTTCGCCTGTACAGATCATGACACAAACAAATGTATCAGCCTATTTATAACACAGCAGGATTGTGTAAACATAAACACATGACTTATAGAAAAAATGTATGAGTTTAGTTCTTCTGATGAAGAGCTAGTTTACCGTTATCTCATTGAATAAAATATTTTATGAGCTGGCTCAAACAAGCCAGCTTGAACCATAAGTTTGAATGCATTTTTTTCTTTTTTGGGTGAGGCAAAGTTGGTTAACAACGCTGGTCACGCAGCTTTTCAAATAGTTCTCTCACAACGCTCCATCAGCAAAGCATGAACAGTGTTTTCAGCATGAGCAGTGGAAATTTCATACCAGCCAATTTCATACCAGCCAAACACCGCCGAGTGCCCAACGGAGTTGCTTGGCAGGCAAATGATGACGTTTAACGTTGGATTCTATTCTAGGAGTAGCCTCAGCGTGCATGATGCCCATCCACCAGTGCGATGACTTTATTCAGGAATCCGAGGCTGTCAAAAACGTGAAGGAATCGTCGATGTGCTGATTAAATTATGCAAAGACCATTTGCACCTAGTTTTATCAGCAGATGTACTCATGTACAGCAACTAACATTCGGCATGATAGCTCGACATTTCAGTTGTGTGGGGTACCAATCGCTAGGTGATGGCTGTGGTTCTAAAACTAAAAGAGATTCATTTGGTTAAAAAAAGAGAGAGATTCAACAAGAAGAGCCTCCTGTATCCCAGCACCAGCAGCCTTCTCCAAGTAACCTCTGGACCCCACGCTACGCATGCAAGCTTGCAAAAGCAAGCTGGCTGCACTGCAATGCACAGCAGCACAGGCAAGAGGACAGTGCACTGACCAGAAGGGTTGCAGCACACCTTGTGTCATTGTCGCATCTTTTCAGAGTCAAGCCAAAGGTGAACAGCACCGCATAGCACAGGGCAAAACCCTCCCTGCTCTCTCTCAAAGTCCCCAAGGGCCCCGTTCGGCTGACAAGCCAGGGCCGAAAGTCGCTAATTTACTTGCTTAAAAAAGTATGGCTTATAAGCCGCGCAACCCCAAGCGAACGGGGCGAACAAACGAAGCGCTACAGTTCTAGGCAGTGGCAAAACGATAGAAAACTCCTAGTAACAGAATTCGCTTTGGAATGGATCAAGATCATGAAGTGCCACAAAAGATTCCAAAGATTAGCACGGCTGCAAAGGCTGCAGGCTGCAGCACTACGTCGAGTGATTCACATTCATTCACTACTGGAGCAGATGATGATGATGATTGTAGCCTGCGTTGACCGTCTCTGAAATTCACACTGCTTACTGCTAATCTACATGAACAAGACTACTCCGATCCGAGTCTTTTATGCGTTGGATTGGACCTACGTAGTTGATCAGTAGTCGGCTGACGGCGGCGGCCGCCGGGTCACCATGGTCAGCCTATCCGGTCGAGGCTCTCGGCGACAGCGCGCATGCGCGGGCGCATCTCGGGGTCGGGCTCCGTGCACCCGAGCGCGACGTGGAAGACGGCCAGCACCTGCTTCTTGGCGTGCACCTCGCCGAGCAGCGTGGGGTCGACCACCTCCGACAGCGGCCGCTCCTCCTTGAAGGCACAGCGCACCCAGGCCTCCAGGTCCATGCCGCCTTCCCCCTCCGTGGGCTCCCGCCCGGTGACGGCCTCCAGCAGCACGACGCCGAACGCGAACACGTCCCCCTTCTGCGTGGCGGCCGCGGCGGGCGCGCCGCCGGGCGCGTGCAGCTCCGGGGCCACGTACGACGCGGCGCCAGTGCCGCCGCGGAGCGCGCACGCCGCGCTGCCGAACTTCTTGGAGTGGTGGCCGGCGGCCTTGTGCGCGCCGGCCACCAGGCGGGCGAGGCCGAACCCAGACACGTGCGCGCGGAGCTCGTCGTCCAGCAGGATCTTGGAGGACTTGATGCAGCCGTGCACGTACCGCCGCGGGCTGCACTCGTGCAGGTACGCCAGCCCGCGCGCCGCGCCCTGCACGATGGACAGACGCACGGACCACGGCAATGGCGTCGGCGACGCCGTCGGGCCACCTGGGATAGCGATAAGATAACCAACCAAGGCTCTCGCCGGTGTTAGTAGCCCGCCCTTCTCCTTCTTGGACACTGATAGTACAATGCATTGCTACCAAAAGACGGGATATTTTTGTTACCGTGGACAGCGGAGTGGAGGGAGCCATTGGGAAGGTAGTCGTAGATGAGCAGCTTCTCGTCGGGGGCGTAATAGTAGGCGCGGAGGCGGGCCACATTGGGGTGGCGCGCGCGGCCGATGGCGGCAGCCTCAGCCTCGAACGCGCGGCGGCGGCGCCAACCGGAGCCGTCGCTGTCGCCATCGTCAGGCTCGCTGAGGCGGCGGACGGCGACGGCGGGTCCACGGCCGGGGACGACGCGGTACACGATGCCGCCGCGGCTCTTGCCGACGACGTAAGCGGAGGCCCGGAGCAGCTCCTCCAGCTCCATCCCGAAGCCGTCGTCCATGGCCACGAACAACTCCCCTTCCTCCCCTCCCCCGCCGCCGCTACGCCGGTCCTCGCTGCCGGCGAGCGTCACCGCCCCCGAGCCCTTCTCCTTGGCCGACTCCTTCTCCTCGTCCGCAGCCGCCGCGCCACACCGCCTCCGGCACTGCCACTGCAGAGCGACGCCAGCGACGATGGCGACGACGACGATGGCGGTGAGGACCGGCACCGTCGGCGACGACCGCCGCCGCTTCGGACCTCCCGGCCTTCTGACCTCCGCCGCGGCGCTAGGGTCGGTGACGCCGCCGCCTCCGGCGGCGCTGGAGCCCGGGATCCTCGGCCCGTCCTCCCCGCTCGCCCCGCCCGCGCACTCGACCTTGAGCGGGAACCCGCACAGCCGCGGGTTGCCGTCGAACGCCGTGGGCCCCTGGTTGACGAGCGAGCCGACCTGCGGGATCTCGCCCTCCAGGTCGTTCCCGCGGAGGTCGAGGCTGACAGCAACGGGGATCCCGCCGAACTCGGGCGGGACACCGCCCGTGAAGTGGTTGTAGCTGAGGTTGAGCACGCCCGACAGCCGCGGGAGCGCGGCGAGCGCGGGGGGAAGCGTCCCGTTGAGCTGGTTGGATGAGAGGTCGAGCCGCTGCAGAGAGACGAGGCGCGCGATCCCGGGCGGGACCTGGCCCGACAGCTGGTTGTGCGCGAGGTCGAGCATCGCCAGCCGCTGCAGCGCGGCGATGGCCACCGGGATCTGGCCGGACAGACGGTTGTAGGGGAGCGACAGCGCCTGGAGCTCGGATAGCAGCGACAGCTCCGACGGGAGGTACCCGGCCAGCGAGGCGTTGGCGAGCTCGACGGCGGAGACGCGGCCGGTGGCGCCGGAGGAGGAGGAGGAGGCGCAGGTGACGCCCGCCCAGAAGCAGGGGTCGGCGTCGGCGTCCCGCCACGTGGACAGCGCGTTACCCGGGTCGTCTGACACAGCGAACTTGAGCGCCAGCAGCGCTAGCCCGTCCGTGTTGAGCGCCGCCGCGGTGGAGGCGGCGGTGGCTGCCGCCACCAGGACCGTCAGAACCGCCGCCATTGCACGGAGCGAGCGCGAACGCTGCGGGGTGGTGGTGAGTGGATCACAGTGCTGCCATTCCCTGGGACTCCGTGAGGCGAGGCTGCAGGGTAGCAGTTGCAGAGAAGGGAAGGGAATAGGGGAGGTGGAGGAAGCAGCCAGAGGAGGGGAGCGATAGGGGCGGCGTGCCGGCGTGGGGTGTGGGTTTTAGTGACTGAGATTTAGCGGCGAAATGACTGGAAGACCCAGCGGGAGTCCGGGAGAGTCACGGTTTATGTGGGGGTTAACGGGAGAAGGCAGGGCTAGTTTGGGGAGAAAGATTGAAATGAATGCAGTGGGGAGTCGCGCTGGAGGGCTGTTGGTGAGGTGGGCGAGGATTCGATTTCGAAACATTTGATATTCGCCGTGTTTAGTCTAAGGAAGTTTGGAATTTTGGGTGATCGTAGCACTTTTGTTTTTATTTGTCAATTAGTGTTTAAATATGGATTAATTAGGCTCAAAACGTTTGTCTCGTAATTTCCCACCAAACTGTGTAATTAGTTTTTTTTGTCTATATTTAATGCTCCATGCATGGGCCGCAAATATTCAATGTGAAGACTACTGTAGCACTTTTTAGGATTTTGGGTTGGAACTAAACATGGGCATTGGTGGTCGGGAAGGGGAGGAGGAGGACGACTTTTGGAAAAGTACTCCCACAGATAATTCTAATTTTAAATTTGAACGCACGTTCAAAAATTAGAATTGTTTTTTTTTTCCTCGACGGAGGACGTAGGTTTACATGTAGGAAATCTCCCTAATTATTTTTAATATGATTTTTTAAGAAAATTTATGTTTGCCTCATAGGTGACGTAAACTGATTTTTGACCCTGGAGGTCAGCGTTGGAACACATGGCTCCGAGGTAACACGTCTCGGCGCCACTACCTATGGCGCCAAGGTGCCTGGCCGCGCACAACATGGCAATCGAAGTGGCGCTGACGTGGTCGGAAGGTCGGAGCCACAAGTCTGTGGCGTCGACCTCGGAGCTAAGATCTATGGCTCCGACCTATTAAACCTACACAGGCTCTGTCTCTTCCTCTTTCTCTCCCACTCTCCCTGCCGCCCGCGCCACTGCAGCAGGCCACCGCCCGTCGTTCCCCGCGCGCCTGTCCGCTCCCTCGCGCCCCAGTCTGCTCCCTCGGCCGCCCTCGTCGTCCTATCGTCATCCTCAGCGCGCACCGGCGGCGAGGGTAGCCCCGCTTCTCCCCTGCATCCCCATCGGCCTTCCCGTGAGGCCACCCCCTCCACCCTCGATCGGCCGTTATCCAAGTGCCATCTCAGGTAATTTTTTTAATTTTGTTTTTTTAATTTTGTTTGTTTATATAATGTAGTTATTTATTTTATATATAGTTATGTAGTGAGATAATTTAGTTAGCTTTTTTAGTTATTTACTGATGTAAATTAGTTAGCTAATTTAGTCAAATAGTGAGACAATTGAATTATGTAGGTAGTTAGTTTATTTATTTAGCTAATTTAGATTAGTAGTTAGATAGTTTGGTAATTTAGTTATATAGGTAGTACTTGTAGTCAATGTAGGTAGTAAATTTACCTATATAGTTTGATAGATAGTTAAGTAGTTTAGATACTTATTTATTTAGGTAGAGACTTGGATACTTATTTATGTATATAATTTTGTTATACCCGTATTAATTTAACCTGTAATAACTCTGGTGTTGTGCATACCAACTAGATGAACAACGTAGTCACCCTTTATCATGGAGAAAGTGTGGAGAAAGATGAGTTTGGGAATGTCAGTTTTATTGGAATGCAAAGGGTGCCTGTGATATTCGATGATCGGCCGTTGTTCTGTGAGTTGTTTGGTATGGCTCGTGATTGATCATGTCACCGTCGTATCGTACACGGACTTTTATAGATGAATTGATTGATCGCTAGAATCTAGCCTTTTCAGTTGATTTTTCAAATAGGTCTTTTAGTCTGACTTGAAATAGTGATTCTAGTCTAGTTTCAAATAGGCTTTTCAGTAATCGAATCTAGGTTTTTTCAGTGTCCTACGAAATAGGCTTTTCAGTGATACCTAGTAGGCTTTTTAGGACCATTTATGCCACAATACAACGCCTACTAAATCTCGGACTGCCTATATATACGTAGTGTTGGATGCGTTGCTACTCACTTTAAACGAGTATCTGGTTTCGTTGGAGTAGGAATGTCTGGAGGGTTATCTAGAGGAAAGGGTTTAGGCAGTGGGAGAGGAAAGGGGGGGGCGAAGGGAACTCCCACTGCCTGGGAAGGGTCTCTTGGTCCTGATTTCTTTGATGAAGTAGTGTATCATTTTCCCTTCGAGAGCAAGAGTGATTTCACTAAAGAGTGCCCTCTCAGAGGATACGATAACCGGAAGAAAGATTGGTCAAAATGCATACATGGTGAGGACTGCTTAGTGTAGATGTTCACTGAGGGGATCGACGGAGGTCGTCGCTTCTTCAAATGTCCACGAGCATGGGTAATTGCTAGTACTATTCGTTTGTTAAATATGTTCTGGCCCGGTAGTGCTGCAATCCAGCTGTGTCAACTCCATAGCGGTAGTGCTGCTGGGTGAATTTGATAAAAGTTTGAGTGTTTGTTTTGATAGGCCTATTCACGCCCCTTTAGGCCAACCAGAGATTCTGTTGACACACGTGCTCATCCCGTGCTCAACTATGCGGAAAAGCTAAAGATGGTGTAGGAAACATGTGGAAACAATCCCTATGAGCAGCCAAAGAATTTGGAGATAGACTAGGTTTTGAAATGAGTTTTATTCCAACTTCTATGCATCTGTGAACTTCAACTCCAAGAAATCCAAAGTTGTCAAGATGTAGTATGTTGATTGAGAGGAGATGAAGGCAAAGAATGGGCCAGAATTCAATAAGGTGATCAAGGCTTGTGAGTTATTTGGCCTCACTGATATTATGAGCTTCAGATATAATTGGAATGAGAAAGTGCTAGCCTAGTTCCATGCCACTTTCTTCTATAGTATCTACACTGATAAGATTCACTGGATGACTGAGGGACGACATTATAGAGTTGATTTTGTGACTTTTAACCGAATCCTTGATTTTGGAGAGGAGGAGCGGGGCTTCACTTACATTCATGATGAGGCTAGAGTTGAGATCCGTGACATTGCATATATGTGGATTGACAAGTGAAGTGCATATAGAAAGGTTAGTGGCTTGAAGAGCTATTATTACATTCTAAATAATTTGATCAGGCACACTATCAATCCCAAGGATGGAGCAGCTTCTGATCTTAATAGATATGTGAGGAATGTGCTAGCTAGATTTGCTCCTAGAGGTGACAGGTTTAATGTCTCTTGCTTCATCTGGCGTGAGCTGAGGAACGCCATGGAGGATGGGAGAAAGGGGATACACTATGTCCCCTATCTCATGTTTATGATTGAGAGGGTCACTGGCTACAGATTTGAGAAAGATGGTCTTCACACCGTCTACAAAATTGAGAAGACCCGAGGGGCAGGTGCTAGTAGGGCAGTGAGACGCTCTCCATTAGTTGAGGACGTGCCTGAGTCATCCTGATCTAGGCCTTATAAGGAAAAGAAGATGGAGAAGTTTGGGAAGTGGATCAAAGCCATCTTCACCACATACACTTATGCAGCGAGGACCACATATCTGGACCGGTTGGAGAACCGTGAAGCCAATCGTGAGGCTAGAGAGCGTGTAGGGCTGCCACCTCTTTCTCCAATTCAGTCACCGCCGAGGTTTGATGACCTCCCTAATCTTTCTGACGCAGATTCAGAGGATGAGGAGGAGGAGAAGGAGGAGGAGCAGCCAGAGCTTGATCCACACAATAGTTTGAGATCCAACTTATAGTCCATGAGGAGGAGCACTAGGCATGAGCGCCACATTTCGACCACTCATCGCAAAGGGAGGGCGGTGGTGTCTTCTTCTTCCTCCGACGACGCCGATCATGATGATGATGGTGGAGAGGAGGACGTCGTAGGTGCTAGTGGAGCTGGTGGTGGTGATGATGTTGATTGGGACACAATCCAAGAGGACGAGGAGTGAGTGTTGGTCTATCTTCTTTTCTTCTCTTCTTGGTGCAATATGCCAAAGGGGGAGAAAATTAGAGGGGTCAACAACTTTTTCGATGCCATGGAGGTTGCTGCAGCTAGTCATGTTCGTATCCGATTAGAGTAGTCTTTGTTAGGTGAGAGTTTGAGAGTCTATTAGAAACTCTATTTATGTAATAATGTTACTTAAGTACTTTATATGTGTGGGATGTGGACATATATTAATCTATGCTATCGCTTGTGATATAATTGTGCTAGAATGTACTCCCTCCATATTGGTAATTCAAGTCATTTTGGACAGCAACACGGTCTCCAAAACATAACTTTGACTCCTTATTTTTATAAAAATAATTTTTAGAAAGTGATATATATATATATATATTTATGAAAGTACTTTTCAAGACAAATCTATTCATATGATTTTCACATTTCCAAACTCAACAACTTAAAACTTATTCATGATTTATATTCCCAATGTTTGACCCAAACCTTGTCCAAAACGACTTGAATTACTAGTATGGAGGGAATATATCTTTATGTGTATCACATTCTGTGTGGTGTTTGTTCTGATTTGTGCTGCTACAGCAAGTGCGCTAGTGCCGCGCCCAGCTACAACAGCAAACCATGTTGTGCATAAACTATCATTTGCATCATGTTTTACATACCTAACACAGTATGCAGCACCCCACAGGAGCATGGATGCATCACTTTCACTAAAATGTGAATCTTAGCTTCTTATGTCAATTTGAGAATTCAATTCTTTATTCACATACTTAGGGGAGGCTCTACACCCATGGCTCAAAAATATCAGTATTTATTTTATATCTTTTAAGCTCTAATTGGGTTGTCATCAATCACCAAAAAGGGGGAGATTGAAAGTGCAATCAAGCCTCAATTGTGGGTTTTGGTGATAATGACCATGCAATTAGAGAACTAATGAGATTTATCGAGATAACAAGCAGAGAA